CCACCGCAGCCTTGCTGAGCCTTACAATGAAAGCCAGAAAACCGAGAGCCCTACTGTATGTTCTTCATTCCCAGCAACGTTCCTATGAGAAAACCTTATTAATGAGCTTGCAAACGAGCACCCAACAGGGAAATGTCACAAACAAGAGCGGCTAATGCCCCAGAAAATCAAATAACTGAACACTTGGCTGATTGTGGCGCCTTTCATATTTATAATAAAAAAGGGGGGGGGGGCTTTAATTCACTAATTCTGAAGGGGTCAACACCTTGCTGAACAAAACAACTCATTTATTTATGTTCAGAAATCTCCAGATGATAAATTACATTGATGTTAATCACTTCAATGCATACTACACAATTAATATCTGTACTCACCACGAACTTAAAGATTATTAAAAGTATGACAGCATACACATCTGGCTGATTTTTCACATAATTGGGCACAACAATTTCTCCTGGTACCACAAATAAGGGTCCTAACAAACAAACACTGCAAAATTCTGTGTTCAATTAATTAGGACTTAAATCCACAAGACAAAAGCAATTCCAAGTTGTAGCGCAAGCCTTGTCCTCTGCGCAACATGGTAGCTCTGTTTTACTGTTCCTCCTTTCCCCGTCGGACTTTAAGCTGTTGAACGGTATACACAGTGTAGGTCTTTGCTATTTCTTTTTAAAAAAATATCTCCTTAAAAGGATGCAGTTTATACAGAACTCAAATCCATTATCTGTCATGTAACTGTTCATATCCTGGTTAATAACCGTTGGTCTTAGAGGAGGTAGAAAAAGGTTTCTGGAAGGCTTCATGCAGCAAAATGGGCCAGGCCTGAACCAAGTGAGTTGAATGAATACCAATTCCAACAGGTCAGAGTCCCCCAGGGTAATCTCATTTACCCAGAAAAGAGCTGTTCTTAATCTGAGGTCCATGGATGAGGTCAGCATTTCCCGGTGATAATCTAACGCTTATAAATAATACTACAAAAAAATCTTTTTAGGTACCAAAGAGAAAGATAGTAAAAATAATAGTTATGTATTTACTTTGATGTTTATTAAACATAACACACCTCGCAAAATAAAATTCCTAATTTGATATTTTTTCACAGGCCTTTGTTAGGGAAAAGCAGCAAAGTTACTTAAAGATAAATTCTAAATGAGTTGAGTATAGACCACCTGTGGATATGGGAAAACTGGTCCTCCGGTAAATGAAGTTAGGATTAACTCTGTAGGATAAGCAGACTCCTTAAACTGGAAGCAAAATGTGGTGGATCTGTGGTTTTGTTCATCTTCTCCAGGTCTGTGGACTCTTAAAGGGGTGTTTAAGAAGGTTAAGGGTTTGGGCCAAATACAAAATGAGGGTTGAATACTCCTCACAGAGTATCTGAAATGGTCCCACATCCACGCGGACTGGCTGCTGAATGTCATATATTTAAGTATCTCTTCCCATTGCCATCAAGTCGCGGTGCTGCCTGACTGCCGAGTGGGGGGGCAGCTGTGAGAGGGATGGAGTTGACCCACTGGCACAGGCCAGTGACCAAAAAAGCCTTAGTGCCCAAAGACCGAGTGCCTTAGGCATCGGAGGCAGGAGGCCCTTTCGTTGTTGCTGGTGTTCAGGAGAGTAAAGCTGGTAGGCCATGAGGCAGAGGGTTCCGTGTCTGGAGGAGCTACTGAAGGAATTCCTAGCTGACTCTCCCGAGCTGTCAATAGCACTCTGGGAAAGGAGGGTAGTGAATGATCAGGTGACTTTCTTTCTTTTTTTAATAAAGATTTTATTTATTTATTTGAGAGAGAGAGCGATTGAGAGAACGAGTGGGAAGAGGAGCAGGGGGAGAAGCAGACTCTCTCCTGAACAAGAAGCCCAATGTGGGGCTCGATCCGAGGACTCTGACCTGAGCAGAAGGCAGATGCTTTCACTGGCTGAGCCACCCAGGCACCCTATCAAGTTACTTTCTTGAACAATGAGTCTTATTTAAGATGCCAAAGAAGACTCTCAATTCCCACTCAGATTAATAAAATGGTTGGTAACTCTTAACCTTCTTTTATGTAGAAAGACTTTCTCTTTATATACATTCCAAAAAATTAAATATCAAGAAGAAAATGCCTGTGTGGCTCACTTCGGATAAACACACACACACACACACACACACACACACACACACACACACAAAACAACAAAAACAAGAAACAATAGTCTCCCATAAAAATGTGCTGAGTAAGGGAGCCGTGAGGCTAGGTAGGAAGAGACAGGTAAGGGGGCTCTGTAACCAGGCTCACAGAAAATTCCACATGTGGAGAAATACTATAAACAAGATATTAGCCAGGAAGAAGGGAACATAACAAATCTACCTTTTTTGTTCTAAATACAGATGAGACATTTTCATAATATTTACAAATCTACCTTGTTTGTCCTAAATTTATAGATGAGGTATTTACCAAGTTCCCCAGTCAGTTTTCTATAAAAGATGACCATAAAAAGCTCCCAGCGGCAACCCATCTGGTACCCCTCTCACTCTAGAGAGCTCTCCTTTCTGTTCTCGCCTTCCCTTAAGAAACTTTCACTTCCTTCCCCCTATTACCCGCAAGATTCATTCTTCGACTCTTTTAAGACAAGAACCCTCCAATGGTGCCACGTTAGAGTTAAACATGATCAATAGTTGTGTCTTTGTTTTTGGAAGGCACTGGTCACTTCCCTGTGGGTGAGGGCTAGGAGGAGACTGAAGTCAAAGGAATTCAGGTATGCAGTTTTACTGCTTGTACTTAGAAGGATAAATTTCTCTTGAACCTACAGAAGACGGAAGACAAGGCTTACAAAGATCATTATCAAGTCTTCCAAGAGGTAGGAGATATATTGCCTAAAATATTTTGCATTTGGGAGGGAGTATAATTTCATAGGTGGGTGGGGCTATATTCTATTTGGAAGATACTTGGGACACTGAAAGAGTTTAGAGGCGGAGACTGGGTGAATGTCTACTCAGGTTTCACAAAGGAGTTAATGTATTATTAAAGCTAATGGGCCCCTACAAGGAAAGTTAATGGATATTAAGTTTGCTTAAATGAATTACATATTAACAAAGTCACAAGAAATCTACTATCTGCCAATTTAGATAATATCTGATCATTTCTGTTTTCCCATTATAGGGACATTACACCACAATAGTTTTGGTGATATGAAAATTATAAGCATGATGCCTATAATGAAGCTACATAATGACAGAGATGAAATAAATTAACAAGAAAAACCTGCATTATGTAATGTTAAATTGAGCCAAACTCACTGAGTAAGAAAAGATGAGAACAGGATTGGTGTCTTGGAAGCAACTTTTCACATTTAATTTTAGCCACAAGGTGGAGAAACGATTAGAAGCCACATTTTACACCTTTCCCTGGCCCCCGTTTTGCTCAGGCAATGGTGCCCCTCAAGACACATGCTCACTTCTAGCCCTGGAACCTGCGAATATGGCCTTATTTGGAAAGAGACGTCTTTGTGGGTGTATCAAGTTCAGGATCTTGAGATAAGACCATTCTGGATTAGCTGGGTGGGCACTAACTTCAACAGCAAATATCCTTATAGGACACTTGCAGAGACGAGAAGGCCAAGTTGAGACAAAGCAAGAGGTGAGAAAGACATGGCTCACGCCAAGGACTATCTGGGGCCCCCAGGAGCCAGAAAAGGCAAGGAAAGCTCTTCTCCCAGAGCCCTTTTGAACGAGTATGGCCCTGCTAACACCTCAACGTTGGTCTTCAGTCCTCTAGAACTATGAGAGAATAAATTGGTTGTGTTAAGAGCCACGAAGTTGCTGATAATTAGTTACGGCAGTGCTAGGAAATTAACGGAGAGATGGTAACGCTTTGCCTGTATCAGACCCCCGGGGGGTTGCCTTTCTAACCAAACTCTTACACCAGTCCCACTCTGCACACTCAAATGTCACCTGCCATCTTTCAGACGCTCAGTTACAGATCTCTGATAAAAAAGTGAGGTGTTGGCTACTTGGCCACAACTTTGCTGCAAGGATGGTTTTGTGCAGAAAACATTTTGGCAAGCACAAGAGTCCTCAGAGAAAACAAGGAGAGCGTCTTCAGTTCATTGGGCACAGCGAGGAGACAACCTCACTCCCCACGATCTAGCTGTTATTGATGAAGCCATTGAGATTGTGGCACTGATCCCAAAGAGTTCCACTTTTAAACTCATTGCTATACTTTAAGTTAAAAATGGAAGAGAACATGCAATTTAAAGCAAAATGCTGATGGAGAATGGGAAGAAAAGCCCCTCTCTCTCTATATATATAAAAAAAAAATCAGCACTTCTGCTGGGGCTAAGAAAGTGGGAGGGACCACCTTCGATTGTGAAGTTGACAAACAAATGATTATCGTCAACACTCACAAAGTGCAATTAATTAAGTCATGTGATAGAACAGATTGGAATCATTTTAAAATTTTACATTTGGGTTAAATGTAGTATTTTGAAAATCCTCACTGGCACTCTATAGTATGGCAGTGTTTCAATAAAGTAATCCTTTGATTATTTTACTACTGAGACAACAAGATATAAACTCTATCATATGTATTCAATAAATGGCTTCTCAAGTGTTTTTCACCAACTGCTACTCTGTGCCCTCAGGATAAAATATTCAGGTACTGCTATGATTGGAACAAAGGCCTGTGTCCTTCCCTCCCCAAATTCCTGTGCTGGAATCCCACTGGGGTGATATGAGGAGGTGGGGCCTTTGGGAGGTGCTCAGGTCATGGGGGCGGAGCCCTTAGGAATGGGATTAGTGCCCTCCTGAAAGCTGCTCTGGAGATCTCTAGCCCCTTCCACCAGGAGAGGATACAGGGACAAGGCAGTGGCTCTGAACCAGGAAGAGGGAGGGTTTTCTCTAGAACACAGCCGTGCTGGTGCGCCTTGTTCTCGGACTTCCTAGCCTCCAGAATGGAGTCAGAAATGACTGTTGCTCATGAGCTACTTGGTGCTACTTTGTTAGAGCAGCCTGAACGAAGACAGGTACTCACACTGTACTTCAAGGTACCGCTGGGTCTGCAAGTTTCCGGTAACAGCTGGATGCTCCACCTGACAGATCACGGGGACCCCGTCGTCCTCCTTGTGCACCTTCAACATCAGCTGACTGGTCACCGTGTACATGTCTGACCACTCCTCCACCTCCGATTTGCCTGGGGGACACGGAATGTGCCGAGACATCAGAGCTGTGTGAATTCCTATCGCTCTGTTTCTACAGGCTCCTCTCCCCGCCCCAGCACTGCTATTGTACCCGAGACGATGGAAGTCACTCGGGATAAGGGTATGCTGTGGGTAGATAACAGATAAAATGAGACTTTTCTACTTCTCAACCTTGCAGGAGAGTATGTAAGATGTATTTCTACCCCACATAATAGATACTATTTTTATTTAAATATATTACATATGTTGTCTTCTATCTTGAAACCTCCCACAAAAAGGCAGCTGAAAGTTGAACCACGTTGCCATCTGACTGCTTATGGCATTTTGGAGGAGGAAAAAGAGAAGTGCTTTGCACCCCTAACCACCATCTGAACTTGAAACGTCTAGTAGGCTGTCATGTGGTTTAAAAATTCCAGGACATCATCCAAATCCCTTCAGTAATTCAATCAGGAACAGAGATATAAACAAGCCCTGATGCCCACCTCCCTCAGCAACAATTACCAGGGAAAGTAACTAACTGGATTTACATAATTGAAATGGTAATTGAAATGTTTAAACTCTGAGACTTTTGGAAGACCACAAAACAACAGCGGCAATGACAACAAAACCGCACTGGCAGTGGGTAGAGCAAAGTAAGATAGAGGCTTCGGGCCAGATGGGAGACACGTCCAAGAACACCCAGAAAAGGAGGGAGGAGGCTTCCGGATGGGATGAAAAGGCCAAGGCAGCCCCTTTCCTGAACTCAGCGCTCCCTGGGACACAGCGCACCATTAACTTTCTTTTAATGTTTTGTACTTATCGGTTCGCATTTAATGGCTCAATTCACTTAGAAAAGCAGAGGGGAAATGAGAAACTCCTTCCTTCCAAAACCATACCTAGGAAATAGGAGATTAAACAGAGCAAGCTTTTTGAAACTGAAGCTGTTATATATAGATTTATCTGTTTCTAGATATAGATTTTTATATCCCCTTTCTAAAAGGCCTTATTCTTTTCTTCCTGGCACTCTTGATTTATTCAAGAAGCACACACTGAGCACTTACCTTGGCCCAGATACAGCTGCACACTTTACAAACATTCACTCATTTCATCTGCCCAAGAATCGCATACACTCTGTAATAGTAATATCCCCATTTTAGCAGAAATTGCTAAACACAGCTGGCACTTCTGTCAGATGACCAGAGCTGTCTGAACCGTGGGTACTACTTCCAAAGCAGCCTTGGAAGGGAAGGGGTAGGAGGGCTGACCTGCCCGTGTTAACTCAGGATGGCTGACACAGAAGGCTCAGCCTGGATCCAGGAAGGGGGCAGATATTGGAAGGTCCAGGAATCCAACGAGGGGCGGCCTCGGCCAAGGGAGACAGGATGGGGAGCAGCGTTAAAGGAGCAGCCTGAGCCATAATCACAAATGGCGAACTTTGCAAAAGAGCAGGCTGGTGAAACGTGCACATGAGCTACAGATTCCACGAGAAAGGGGGTGTCTGCAGATCCACAGCGAAGGTACAATCCTTCTCACACTTAACGCACCTGCCCCTACAGGAAAGCAGAGTCAGTGAGCTGATGGCGCAGGGATCCGTTTTAGGAGGAGGCAGAATTCACCGTGTTTTTTAAATGTCTAACATGAGAATCTGGGGAGCTGACCCATCGTAGGTCAGAGGGTGAATGAGAACTGAGGGACAACATGGACACCTGGAGTTCAGGGGAACACCCCGACAGTGGCTCTTCCTTGTCTAAAGCGTTCTAGTTCTTTCTGAGCGCCGGAGTCAAAATCTCTCAGCACCTTTCCCCACAAACCCTCAAACCACAGGGGGAGGATATGCACTAGAGTCAATAAGACGCCTTTAGGCTGTGGCTTCAGATGCATTTAGTAATTGATTAGGAGCCCTGTTTATGTGGATATTTTTGTTTTAGGGACATGTTTGGCATTCATCTTTCATCTCCCCCAAGGTGTGGCCCTGCTGGAGTCAGGGGCCCACCCACCACTTCTGGAAAGGGCAGCCTGCCCCTCACCTTTTAGCTCCTTGTTCCCTTTGAACCACCTGATGGTTGTGGCTGGTTTGCTGGCCATGGCGGTGCAGTTGACTTCAATCTCCTCGCCTTCCACCGCTGTGTCTTTCTGGATATCGATCATCAGGTTGCGTGGAGGGACTACAAATGAAACACAGAATCTATTTCTGCACATAGCCTTCTTTTCATTAGAAATTTGCACCACTGCTACCAAAAAGAGGAGACAACCAGTGGACAATCCTGATGGGATTTTAAAACGAACTGCCACCAGAGGGGAAAAAAGAAGTACAAAGACATCATTAAGAGTGTGAATTATGTCAAAGTGGTTAAGTGAGAATTTCTCTCCTAAAATTATCTTATAAAATGCCCAGCCTCCCACTCCTGAGTCATCAGTGACCAAGTTATAACAACAGTGGTATTAGTTACCATCGGTTATTAGAAAACTGACCGGAACGTAGATCTAAAAGTACGACAAGTACACGCTAGTGAATTTATCATCCTCACTGGGAAGGATCTAGAAGGACTCTCTGTCCTTGAACTCAACCCTTGGATTTCAATCTTCATATGAAAGATCTTGAAGATAATCACCAAATATTGAAAACTTAAGAGTCCCTTAAAAAAATTGCTCACCATAAGCACAAACAGAAAACTCGTGCTTTAGAACGAGTTCTGTTCAGTTGAAATTATCCATAAAGAACTGGGATACAATCATGACCTCTGACGGACGGCGTTGTAATAAAATCCACTGGATGGAAAGATGTGGTAAGGTAGGACATGCCAGTTAATTTGCATTAATTTTCCCATGTTCTGAAATCTAATGCTCCAGATTATAGAAAGCAAAGGTGAAAGAGACTATTAAGTGCCTGCAAGTCCATTTTATATGTCAGAAATAAAACCACTCTTCTTTAAGCATATTAAGCATATGGAATAAGATGGAATAAAATATTCGGGGGCTAAAGTGTGGAATATCAAATCCAGAGAAGGTAGGGTGATGGGGATGGTGAGAAAGCACGTTATCTTTTATGAAACCGAGCTGACAGCGAGACTTCACATCAGGTGCAACCTTACCACAAGACGGAGCTTCTTGAAATAAAAATCAGTAGGAATACGGAATTTGGCAGAGTGAATCTCAGACTATGTGCTCTGACCACCATGAATAAGCAAAGACAGCTCTGAGAGTTATGATTAATAAGTTTCTCAACTCAGAAGAGAAACAAGAAATTAAATATGTATAAACATGCCATCCTGATGATCAAGTTGAATAATATATCTCTGATACTGCTTCAATAAATTATGGGATTAAACCATGTATTTGGGATTTCCAACTGTTTGAGTCCAATGTAAAATTCTGTGCACAGGGAGACTTTTACGTTGACTTGAAGCACTTGAAAACTCCTACAGAGAACGATGGAAAAGAAAAAGGAAAAATGGCATGTTGCTTATGTTTCCCAGCAAGACTGTGTGTGTGTGTGTGTGTGTGTGTGTGTGTGTGTGTGTGTGTGTGGAGGGGTGACTATTAGAGCAAAAGCAGGCCCCTTCTTTGTTCCCCACGGAAAAGGAAAAGAACACATTTGCTCAAGTGGATGTGTTGCCAAAGTGATATGGCCCAAATGAGTAGTTAAACATGGCAAAGAACTACCCTCGCTTACATTTTAAAAAAATATATAAGCATAAAGAGAGATAGTCTAACATCCAATTTGGAGCTGCACATCTGCCAGTGTTTTAAGAGACACAGAAAGGCAGTGACAAAAGTAAATGGGGCGACTTTAGCTAGCTATTTCCTGAACGTAGATATTCTTGCCAGATGACAATCAGGATGGTTATAGATTTTCATCACGCACGCCTAGAGAGTTGATAGGGAATCCACACAGAGACTGGATGTTTTGGACCAACAGATACTACCAAATTCTGAGTGTGGTATCTATCGTAGGAATATAGAAACAAAATGCTATTGTTAGAGCGAATGTCAGAGGAAAAGATTGCCCAAGCCTGAAGAAAATCAGATCCCGGTGAGCTAGGAGGAAGAAAGTAAGAGGCAAGAGGATGAAATCACCAAAGAGTAAAAGACATAGGAATGCCACCTCCCCACAGCCCCCACATGGAGGAATCAAAGTCAGACAATAGTATTTCTATCAAGGTTCAGACAGAAGTAAAAGGAGAGTGATGGAAATCATTCTTGATGTTGGCATATGCCATGACGCCCAATGAGAAATGGGATTGAGTACAGTAACTGAGAAGTAATATGCAATTTAAGGAAATTCAAACTGAGTAGGGAAGACTCAGAGAAAGTGATCCTCTTTGGATAGGACAAAGAGGGCAATGGAGTCTGGCGGATTCCAGTCTGCTTGTGTAACTTTGGAGAAAAACCTTGCCGGTAGCTCTGTGGTAACCTGGGAATCTCGGCAGGAGGAGATGCCGGAGTCATTAAAGATTCCTGCACGCTCCACCATCAAGTCTCAATGGCACCCAGCCTCCCAACACGGGCTTTGCCAGGCATTTGTTTCTTGTGCGTTCCTGGGGCTCTTTCCTTCATTGTCTCCTTTCCCGAGCTGGGCCTGAAGACAGCTTAGCCCTCCTCATCACAGGCTTCCCCTAACCACCACTAGCTGCTCCTCTTCGGTGGTCTTTCTGTCTGTAAGATGGAGGCGGTTGTAGAGGGGACAGCACGTTCTTTCTGCATTAGCAATCACGACTGCCAGTTCAAAGGAAGGAGATGGAAAAGTGCACGTACAATTGAGGCCAGAGGAACGCCTGCCAGTGCCTCTAAGATGTTGTTTGGAGGCTCAGAGCCTGACCAGCAGCAAAGAGACCCTCTTTGTTTTGGATTACCTATTGGTTGGCATTGCTCATGCCGCTTCTTCCTCTCCTACAATAGACATGCCATCAAGTCCCCTGACCCTTCGGGGGACGCCTCTACCCATACTAGGTCCTCGGGTCATCTTCCCGAAGAGCTGACTGACATCATCTAACTTCACTTTGCTAAAGGGAACATGGGGACAACTTGCCACGTCTTGGACAACGGGACCAGTGCAGAAAAATAAAGAAGTTGTCGTTGAGAAGAGCATCCTGAGAAAGAGTTGAGTGACTTTATTCCAAGTCCACAGTGTTTTCAAGATTGTGGCCAGGATTTCTGACTTCACTAAGATGAGAAGAAGAAAACAGTTAAGGGTAGTGGGAACTGTGTGGTTTGCAAACCTAAAATCAAATTGAATTATGGGAGTCACAGTGGTTTGTTGATATTAGCTATAAAGGTGACTTCTCTGATTTTTTTTTTTTTTAAGCACAAAAAAGCTTTGGAAAATATAAACGAGGTGATTTAAATCTTTCTTAAAAAAAAAAAAAAAAAAAAAAAAAAGGGACCAGACAAGAAAAACTCCAAGTTTATTTTGGTCTATTAATTGTACCCCATTCTCCCTTCAACTCCACAATGCCTACTGTAATATAAAAGTGATTAGTAAAGTATAAAAATCCATTTGTGGGAAAAATGAATTAAAACCGCTACTAACCAGAGAATACACTTAAATGTGCTCTACTAAACAGACACATTTAGTAAAAACTGCCTGTGGCCGTTAAGGAAAATAACCAAAGATGTATGTATGGAGGTGCATACAGATGAAAACCTGAATGAAAATCACAGGGGGAAATACTAGAAAATAGCAAAGAAATGTCAAGGTTCTTCTTAGCTAACCTCAAATCTATAAGAGTGCTCATTATAAACATTACGCCTACAACATTAAAAAAAATCAGCAATATCAAGATGAGTCACACGTTAATTACAACAAAAGAGGAGTCTTAAAGCTGATCAGTATGTGAAATCTCACTCCAAAACCCTTTGAAATAATTAGGTTCTCCTGTTCCTGGAATCTTAAGAGTGAACACTAATCTTAGAAGGACAGGACTGTAATAATATTGCTGCTATTATCAGTAACTATATTTATCTTAAAGGGGTGTATTCTCTTTCTCATTACACTGTTTCCACGAATACTGGTATAAAGGGAGTTCTACACTATGATCTAGAGAAAAGAACAAAGTCACACAAGTGGAAGGAGTGAATGTAGTATCCTAAAAGGCACCCAAATGTGTGCAAAATACCATTGGCGAGTTTTCAGTTTTTACATGGATCTGATAATACACGTAACAGCAACTAACAAATAACCATCTCCACGTCTTACAATTATGCTGAAATTTTTGCTGAATTTTTCACACAACTAATAGACACACGCACTAAAGTGAGCATCTCCAACCTATCAAGAAGTTTGACAGCTGTGTAAGTATATACGGAGTCCTTTTCAGAGAACCATAGATAGAAACAAAGATGCTAATAGATCACTCTTCATTCATTAGAATATCTGAAAATTCTAAACCTTAGGAAGAAGGTTTGAATATAGGAGTATCAGTGGAAATTGTCAGATTTTGGAATATGAAAGACTCAAACACTGATGACAACAATTTCACTCCGTCAAAGACTCCTAGAGTCAATTCAATGGAAAGAATATTAAATGAATACATAATATCTGCAGAAAAAGCATCTCCCGGTATTACCCTCAAGTATGTTTAAGTTAATGCGTCTATACAATACAAGCAGGAACCTATTACTTCTAGAATAATCAGGCCTCCAGTAGGATTACAGGCATAAATGCCTCTCGAAAGTCTAGCGCTGTCAGGCTGACTCCCAAGCACTGGGTATATTCACCCAAACTGGCCCAATCCAGTGGGTCCGCGAACAAATGTACCTGATTCTGGAAACCCACAAGCAGTCACTGCTTGCCCATGGCCAGACGTACTCCTGAGGACAAAACATGTGCACCTTCAGGGAGAAGTCTCGAAAATGGCAGCATTTGGGATTTTACTGAAAACAACCCAGGCTCAAAGACACAAAGGTTGTGAGGCAGAACTGTAGGGTCTGTTTCAAAGCCTGTGGTTCTAGATTTGTACCATGTGCTTTGTAACCCAGGCGGGATGGCTCATCTCTCTTCTTATCATTTCTTCCCATGAAAGATAGTCAGGTAGACTATCTTTAGATGTAGAAAACACCCTAAAAACTATACTATCCCATTCCACTGCTGTAACTCTCGTGCAAAGGCCATAATCAATGATGGGTCTGAGGGCGGATGGTTGGCTATTGGAGTCACACGCTGCACATTGTTTTCAAATACTTCTGAACAACTACATGGACAGAAAACCTCAAGGCACACCTGCAAAACAGCAAAAGAAGTCATCCCAGCAAAACCTTTCACGCTTATTATTTCTTCAGGTTTAAGAGGGATTATGCTAAAATTAAAGCAGACACGTACATCTCAAAGTCATCTATCGTTCAACACAGACTCTATTAGAAATTGCAACAGGACTTCCCAAAATCAGTATTCCTCTTATCAAGAACATGTATGTAAGCACTAGGGACATGTTTTAGTTTAATGAATGAAGAATTATTTCCCCTTTTACAGCTGTGTTTAAACAGAGTAATGAGGCAGCAGCCCCATATGGACATCCATAAATACATGTATGTTCACACACACCAAGCAGAAACGTCCTTCATATTTATCTTTCCTCCTTAATCTTCATATCATTACACCGAAAAGCTGCACTCTGCCGCCACAAATAGACTTTGATGCATCGTCTTTCTGAAGGTGTAAATCAGAGATCTTGCCTCATGCCTTAGTGTACGTCCTTGAAAACTCGGTTTCAAAAACCCACATCAGCTGCTGTTATGTACTGGTGTACACATTTGTCTAAGAGGTGACTAATTCAGACCACCTTCAACACAGGGATATCTGCTGACTCCATCAAAATCTAAATATGGAAACTTAGCTATTGGAATTTTCCTGAAAATCACAACCTGGTGATCGTCACTGAAGACATACAACTCCCTCGAAGTGTCCTCAGCAGCCTGTCGACAGGCCTGGCTTATTATCAGCCTCCTCTCCCTAGAAGCTCTCAATTCTTTTATGTCCAATGGTTGTAATTTGTGGCAAAGTGTGTGTTCATGGGGTATGATTTTTACAGCATCATCTAGAGTAGAAGCAATACACAAGGCGGTGAGTAAAGCCAAAGATGAGATCAACGATATTAAATGTTGTAACGCAGAAGGAAAATTCATTAAGGGGACTGTATAAGTGAGCTCTGCCACAGGGTACAGTACTGATGTGGGAGCCCACCTCCTTTTCTCCTGCACAGAAGGAACAACAACAACAACAAAATCCTGGTCGTTCAGAAGCAATGACGTTTCATATGGTGAATGATTCATCTCAGGGCTCTAAATTCTCTGGATCTTTGCTTCTGAAGCTTGAGGGCTGAACCCAAGAGCAGGTGGGATCTATAAAGACTGCTGATTGCCATTCCTTAAAGTGTTTCGTAAAATAGGCTACTTTTAAAATTCAGCAACATGGGCAGCGATCCTTCCTACAACAGGTTTGAACAGCAAAATTCACCATTAGCCTCTTCCTTGCTGCTGGAAGCCGACAGGGAGTAAGGGCTCCCCCACTCCGTTTCCCAGGACACACCCCCACGCGTTCCTTACCCAGCACTGTGATTGTGGTGTAACTTTCCTGTGGCGGGTCAGTGTAGAGCTGGCAAAAGTATCTTCCTTCATCCGAAATTGAGACGTTTGTCAGCGACACTTTGAGTTCACTGCTAGAAAAATTCAGCAACTGAAACCTGCTGTCCTTCAAAGCTATGAAACAAAACACAGAGGTAGTGATTAGGAGGAAGACAACAGACCGTCCATTTTCCCTACCTAGGGCGGGGGTGGGGGAAGAGTTACGGGATTCAAAAGGCCGCGACGGAGAAGAAAAATGGAGCGAGTCTTTGTGCACCTGTTGGGTGCTTCTTCATACTTCCTGAATTACTATTTTGCGCTTCTGCAACAACCGCACGTAGACAAATAACCTTCTGCCAAAGGAAGCTGACACACACGGGGTCCTGTGGTATAGCCGCACGCCTGTGCGCACCCACACGCGCATGCGCACGCACACCCCTTGCTGTCCGTTACCAGCCCTGATTCGTAAATTGTTTCAGATTTTCTATCAGAGTTCGGTAAAATGAAAACAGAAGGAACGTGCAGGCTGCAGGCCCTGAAAAGTTCAGGCTTTTGAGTTGTCTCTAAAAATCTGAGGCCTTGCAAAAAAAGAAAAACTGGTTCCAAATTATAAAGATAAAAAAAAAATCATTATTAGTAATTTCAAAAACAAAATGGAAGTCATTAAAAAAAAAAAAAAAAACTTCACAGCGAAACAATCTAATTTAACTTGGATGCACCTTTGTATTTGGTTTGGTTGGAGGTGGAGCTGCCCAGAGTCCATGACCTCAGGCCTCCCAAAGCCTCAGACCTACCCGGCCTGCAGTTTTCTAATTACATTCAACTTCACAACAGGAAACATAGGAAAGCAGAGTCACCGCAAAAGTCAGGTATGTGAGCTTTTTATTAAATTCAAATATTCACTTTTAAAGTCCTTAATGTCATTTTTGGCAAAGGCTAGCTTTCATTCATAACGACCAAAATTCACTCTAAGAATGACCGGCCCCTCTTCTTTGACCTTCCTTCATCCATCCTCTGCAATGTTCCTTGGTTTTACCAACTCTTTCCCTAGTTCATGAATGTTCTGGGGCGTTGAGGAGAACGGGGACAAGCAGATGTGAAGGGTCATTCCTCGACATCTGCTTTGATTAGCCACCCATGCTCCCAAAGAGCCATTTTTTTGAAAGACTCTGACATGCATTTGAACCATTTCTGGGATATACAATTAAGTTCTGACAATTACCTACAGGGATATGACATTTGGTAAGATTTCAGCCCATGGTAACCTCTGTCTACCAGAGGTTACGGTGATAGGACATTTTGGACATTTTGGTTTTCTCTTTATAGGCACACATTGCCTTGGAAACTTCCATCTTCAAACCGAACAGACCACCCTTCAGAATGCTATATTTTCCTTGCCTTACCCTATTTGAGTTGTTTGTGTCAGCGAAGTATTTTGGACTCAATTGCAATTCACCTTGAATTACTACAATCAATTCCTATTGCAAAGTAAGACTGCTTTACTTTTAAAAGGGACCATTCAAGGATTCTATTAAGTAGAAAGATTATGATTGCATGTCTCTTCTTCCCTCTGAAGAATTGACTAAACTTTAAGCATCTAACATTAAATTTAGAAAAGGAGGCCTTGGCAATCTCTTTATCAAGACAACATGTAGGAAGAAAAAGTTGCCACCTAACGCTACGGAGATGGAAACTTACGCCTGAAGTCTCTGAAATAAATGGTCTGCCTGTTGGGATTCAGAAGCTGAATCACAGAGTCGTCGCTCTTATTGACTTTGCAGCTGATGGTTGCCACTTCTCCCTCGATCACTGTCACGTCTTTCGTGAACAAATTCTGTCCATCGCCTTAAAAAAAAAAAAGAGGGAGAAAAGAATTTCCATCAATTAAAATTTGGTTCATGGCTCAGTAAGAACGAGAGACAAAAAATGTCTTCCAAAATGGGCACCAAGGGCGACGCTGGTGTGGCTCCCATCTTCCTCCACCGTCCTTAAAGGGAGTCCGTTCACCCAGGGGCAAAATGCAACTAAGGCTGGGATCAACATGCTCTCAGAAGTCATGATGCCAACGTCCCGGCCTCCGCTATCTTGTACCCGTTGAGGAGTGCGTTGGAAAGGTACGGAAGGGTCAGAGAGTTGACTTTTCTAAGAAGCTGCCGCTCTCAGGGATAGAGTAGGGGAGAAGCATATACTCACCCTCAGCTCACATGCCCTTGAGCTAAGCTATTTGGTTGCCTCACAGGAAACTCTAGGGACCACTTAATAGGAGCAGAGAGGCAGCTCAGTAAATAATCTCATCTTCTTAGCGGATGTCGTCATTCTCAACGTATAGGCAGTTCAGCTGTTTACTGTGTGGGAGAGGGAGGACCTACCCAACTAGGACTGTCTGGAAGCCCAGTAAAATCCTGGGAAGGCTCCTAGTTCAATCTGTTACTCTGCTCTCAGAAACTCATGGCTTCACGACTCACCCAGAGCCCCAGGCGGTCCTGAGCCTTGCCCCTTCTGCCGATGGAGCCCCATCTAGCCATTTAGACTTTCTCTTTCAGAACTCCTCACCAAGTCAAGGCTTTCGGATTCACTGATAGAAGGCTCATCTCCACATCTGCTCTCACTTGTTGCTTCTGTGATTAGTGACAGGAGCCTCGGCCCCTCGTACATGTCCCATTTGATCCACAGCACAGGTAGGGGAAGAAGAGAATTCAACTGACGAGCAAAAGATGAAGTAATTGTTGAATGTCCTGTTCTGCACCAGCACAGCAGAGCATACAGAAATACAGGGCACTGTCCTGATCTTCCAGAAACCGCCAGGTGGGTGGAAATGGGTATCGAATCTGCACGTACGGAGTAAAAAGTATAGCATGGGCAATGGGTATGATGGTCGATCAGGAAGGGGAAGAAGATGATTGCTTTTTGGCCGTATTATTTCAAGTAAAGCATTTAAAGTCCCTGAACCAGTTTCTCATCTGCAAAATGGGGACAGTAATTCAAAGCCCTCTCAGAGAGCTGTCAGAAGGACTGAGGAAGGCAATAAATATAGATCATTTAGCACTGAGTCTAGCTTCCTATAAGACTGAATAAATGGTGGCTGCCATCATCCTCACCAACCTCTTTCTAGTCGTCAAATCCAAACATTACTAGGCAACTCCACGTGGTGAGTGGTGTGGATCTAAGAATGGAGTCTCCTGGTCCTTCTTCCCAAGCTTTCCAGGTGACTATAGATCAGGATGGTTCATTCATCCCCCCCACCAAAACAAACAAACAAACAAACAAACAAAAACAAAAGAAAAGCCCAAACCCCAACTTTGTCACAGTTAGAAACAAAGGTCAAAGATAAATACTATTGTGAGAGAGCGTGTGCATAGAGATGTAATTAGACGAAATGGAGGATTTCCACCTGCTATCGTAATTTCTGCTGAAGGATCCTTTTTTGGCAGGACACAGTGAGGAAGTGTGACAAGAGTGTCTGAGATGGCTTCAAGCCAAATCTACCTAGAAACAGGCCAGCCTCTGATAGAGGATTAGAAGGGAGGGAACTAGGGGATAAGGACAAAATTATTAGAGCCACAGACAAACAGAAATTCTTGGTGCTTGAGGAGCCAACCAACGTGAAACCCCAACCTTGAGGTCTCTGATGCAGGGAATTAACCTTGGTGTGAGCACACGGGCCCACTGGGCTTGTAGTGAAAGGGGAAATTTTCCCTAGTTTGATCCCGCAGCAAAGGCTTAGTGGGGTGAACAATGTTGTGGAATAACAACAAAGAGAAAAAGTGATCAAAAAAAAAAAAAATCAAACAAAAAAAACAATCCCAAGAAACAAAAACAAAAACAAAACCCACGAAGGAATGCTTCTTTTTCCCTCCGCAGATTTCTGTGACAAACCCAGAATTCAGAAGTCAGCTGGAGGGAGCAATGTATTCCCAGATTGGAGAAAAGAACAAGGAAAGGGGAATTCCTGCCAATCAAGCAAGCTTTTCAAGGTGTTTTTTCCTGGCCTTGGCAAAGGTATATACAGAAAGGACGATACCCTTATTTCCTCAGGGTAACCCAATCTGGTAAGAAAATTAAAGAAAAATTAAACCGCACGATTCCAGTGTTGCATCGGTCTGAAGTCACGGGACTTGCTCTAAGGCGACTAGAATACCAAATGGGGTCTACTGGGTTGCGGAAGAGAGTTCTCCTATCTAAAGAAGTCTGTTACCAACATAAATAAGAATCTCCCACTTCTAAAAGGAACCCATAGAGGGGTGCCTGGGTAGCTCAGTGGGTTAAAGCCTCTGCCTTAGGCTCAGGTCATGATCCCGGGACCCTGGGATCAAACCCCGCATTGGGCTCTGCTCAGCAGGGAGCCTGCTTCCCTTCCTCTCTCTCTGCCTGCCTCTTCTGCCTTCCTGTGATCTCTGTCTGTCAAATAAATAAATAAAATCTTAAAAAATAAATAAATAAAAGGAACCCATAAAAAGACTGCCCGGGGACAGGCCTCAGTCCCTTCAACATCAACCACCTTACAGGTCCTGACCACCATCTTGGGGGGTACTGGAACTTAAAGCCAGTTACAATTCCACTAGACCCTAATAAGATGCTTTCTGTAGAACTATACATTTTAGTGTCAGTCCTTCCTCGGAATGCTGGTGTATTCTCTCTGAGTACCATCCAGACCCCCATTAAGGCTCTCAGACATTAGCAGAGGAGACGGGAGACAAAGAGGAGGAGACTATGATCCTATGTTTTACGCAATTAAGGTAATAAAACAGGGTTGTTGCTTGTTAAAAAGTGTACACATTCTTAATTACTGTTTATAATTAGGTAACATAAGACCGGATCACTTTGGTGTGTTATTATGAAGTCCTTCAGGTAAAATTTTTGCCATCTGCACATTTTTGCCCTCGTGTGCTCTGCCGCACGATGGGCTCTGCAAATCCGTGGTGGTATCATCTTTGTTACCGTATTATTTGTTGAAATTGCTAAAGCCAACCTCAAATCCGATGTCTCAGAAAATGACAGCTCCTTGCTACGTTAACATGGTTATAATACTAATGCTAAAAAAATCACAAGCGATAATGAAGTATTTTGCTGAAAGAGATCAGAGTGCCTTGGCTGATGGTGGTGGCCCGAGAATGTCACTGTAAAAATCACCAATAAATTACACGGGTCAGCTGGACAGCAGTTACATTAAACAGAGCTCCATACTTCGAGGCGCCATAGGACGGTTGCGATGGAATAATAATGACCTATTTATTTGAGGCGCCGGATGTGAATGACAGTGATGAAAATACGATTTGTATGTCAGTACTCTTAACTGCCTGAAGCCTTGCTGTAAAAATAATTTCTGCTCACATCCTCAAATATTTCTTCCAAACAGAAGGGTGCACTGTGACTTGATAAATTTCCCCTTGAAATAGATATCATGACAATTAGGTTGTTATAGAACAACTTGATGTGTAGCAGAAGGGTACAAACAGGCCACGTAGGGGCCTTTCTTAAATAATCCGTTTAAGAAAAACCTTCCTGATTTTCTAAAACTCAATTAGCAGATATACTGTCAAGGCAGAAACAGCACATGTTCTGGGCAAGAGAAATCAAGTAGGTACAACATACCGTAGCCATGAAATAAGGCTGTTAACAGCAAGGTAATTTATTTTAAGGGCGGAACAATGTCTGACAAGTATAGACATTTTTGACTGCTAATTGGTGTATATGGGTGAGGTTTAAGAGACAGAATCAAACTGGATTTTTATTTATATCAGCAATTGTATTCCCTACAACTTTCCAATTTGCCCCCCAATTTCTAAAAATACAACTCTGGCACTGGTGAGGCCAGCAAGTCTCCCGCGGTAAACTAGAAGCTGCTAGGACATTTATCACAAGACAGAGAAAGCATATTGTCTAAGGAAAAAAAAAAAATTCTATGATCAGTAAAGACCATTGCAGCCGAATGGGTTAGGGCTGGAGTGGGGGTGGGGGTGCCACGGGCTCATCTGTCCCCTATTCATTCAGTCTTCAACAGGCTTATTAACTCATGGATTCTTTCCTGAAACCTCATTTGGTTACAAACTATTTCTAAGGTTATTACACACAACACTAGCACCGACGGGCATCTCCCTCATCCATGATATGGCCGCCTGAAGAGGGTGATGGGGCAGATCTTAGAGCCTGACGCTAGAATGAGAAGCAGGGGAGCGCCTGGGTGGCTCAGTGGGTTAGAGCCTCTGCCTTTGGCTCCGGTAATGATGTCAGGGTCCTGGGATCGAGCCCCACATCGGGCTTTCTGCTCAGTGGGGAGCCTGCTTCCCCCTCTCTCTCTGCCTGCCTCTCTGTCTACTTGTGATCTCTGTCTGTCAAATAAATAAACAAAAAAATCTTAAAAAAAAATAGAATGAGAAGCAGGGAAGGGAGCAAACGTTTCTCCAGGGCTGGGCACTGAGCTGGCTGCTTTGCACATGTTTCCCTCTCAACTCCTGGAGTTTTCAATACCCCCACTTTAAAGGTGAAGAACCGGAGACCCAGAGAAGTTCAAACAAGTTGCCTCGTGTAATTCAGCTAAGTGCCGGGGCCGGTGTTTGAACCCAGTTCCGTCAGCTTCCTCTGGCCCATACAGTTTGTACTTTTCACAGAGCCAAACTCAGGCTCTGCTGCCAGGGTTCTAGTGGCTCTGCCTTGGAGAATTTACTTGTTTTTAAAGAGGGTTATTTCCCTACGAGCAACCTCTGATTTTTTTTTTTTAATTTCCATAACTTATCCAGAACACAATTACGTACTTGAAGATGAGAGAGAGAGTGTCCTGACTGTAAAGCACCTTGTTTACTACGGCGTCTTCTGCTCGGCACTCAGCACACTTTGCCCCTGGAGAATGCCTTCATTACCAGCGCATGGCGGCCACTTGCCAGCACAGGGAGCTCGCCCCCGCGGCCTGGCTGCTAATAAAGAAAGCACTTCATTTACACCAGGGGAGTCTCTCCAGTCAAGTCCATAATAAAAGGGCAAGTCATAGTTAGAACAGAATTTGGTTTATACTATGGCAACTATGTAAACACAGATGACTCTTAACTGGGAAGACAGTTTGCCCAGAGAAAGAGCAAATAAAGTCCTTTGACCTACTCCTTTAGTAGCAAAATCATATTAAGGCTGTATGGAAGATCGAACCTAGCATGAAATTGGCACAGTCAGGTTGTCTAAACAGGCAAAAGTTGAACCAAAAATACAGAATGCAAAAACAAAACAAAACAACAACAACAATAACAAAACCCCCCCAAAATGAACAAACCCTGCCAATGATCAATGTAGTCATTAACTCCAAAGAGCCACCCTTGTTCTTGAAACTTTGCACTAATTAAAGGCTCAGGAATATTAATTCTTCCCCTCCAAGAGATATCTAAGTTTAGACTTTGCAAAGAGTCAAAACACTTGTTTTTGAAAACCTTATTATTGGGGCACCAGGGTGGCTCAGTCAGTTAAGCATCTGCCTTCGGCTCAGGTCATGATCTCAGGTCCTGGGTTTGAGCCCAGCAAGAGACTGCTTCTCCCTTCTACCTCTGCTTGTTCTCTCTCTCTCCCTCTGTCAAATAAATAAACAAGATCTTAAAAAAAAAAAAAAAAAGAAAGAAAGAAAGAAAAGAAAACCTTATTTTCTATTGGTCTGTGAGCCCTCTGTGTCTTAAAGTTTCAAATGGCTTTGCCCCACTTCTGTCGGTGGGGTCCCCACTTTTATAATGTTTGGTATATGCCCAACTTGAAAGAACCACACTTGCCCCCGACCTGATTAAAACCATCACCAAGAGAGGCCCCATGATTCCTGCTAACACTTCTGAGAGCTAGCACTAGAAATGAGTATGGTTCAGGAAAAGAAAAAAAAAAATTAAGATTCTGTCGAAACCCAAAGGGAAAAAATCTTTCAAGCTGTGTGTGTTCCCCCAAGTCAACGTAAACACAGTGTTCACTACAAATCATTAACAAAGCCATTAAGATTTGATTTCTATCTGAGCAATTATTTTGTACAGCATATTTTGTACATTTCCTTTAAAAGACTCAATCCTATCTTTCAATTCATTAAACTGTTCCTTGCATTTATAACATTTTATATCAAATCAGAAACCTATTTGAATTAATAAGAATTACAGTAAAAGTAATTTGAAAATAAATTATTTGAAGTTCAAGCCACGAAGGCTTTTGATGAAAGAGTTTAGTCCCATTTAAATATTACAGTAATGTTTTTAGTCATCCAAGGTGCAGAGAAGAGACCGTGAGAACCAGCATCCAAAAAAGATAAGCCCATCAACGTGCATTAAGGTTAAGGGCAAGACCACTTCAACATAAATAGAACTCTTTATTTCAAAGAGAGGCGATACTTCAATCCTTTGTGAATACTTGAGTATTTATGTAAAAATCAAAGGCATTCAATCTGTCTGCTGTTTACAAAGCTTGTCTTCACCTTTTTGATCGCCATCCGTGTTTGGCTATCCCGAACAGTTAAGTCGAATGTTCCAAGGACTGCCTACTCAGTGGTCCAAATGATTACCAGTGCGAACCCTGAAGCTCATAGAGTTTGGAGTTAAAATAAACTAAACTGACTCCCCAAATAACCGAATGGGCAAGATGATGTGACATCGACCAAAGCATGTCATTTGCGTCACCTTCTTTTTCGCAAAACCCTTATGAAATCAAAGGTCAGCAGAACTGAAAGGAAGCTCTCAGAAGAACACTCCCATTTCGTAGACGAAGGTACTAGGGCTCAGGGAGGGGAAACAGCCGGTCATGTGGCAAGCTCGAGGCCCAGGCAAAAGCAGAGGCCACATCTCCCATTAGGCCACCAACGTATTTCTACTCTTGGCAATTTCTGAATAACACTTATTGGTTTGTTTCTAAATACAAAAGCAATATATGCTCGAGGTTTTTGTTTTGTTTTGAACCTTTGTTTTACATGTAGTATTTGGAATACCGTATCCTATAGTATGGAGATGGTCAGGATCTCACCAAGAATCTCCTGTAATATAATTATTGTTGTGTCACTTGAGCTTATGGAAGGAAAAAAAATTACTGAATTTAATCTAATCTCCTTTTATAATCAGTAAAAGGTGAGGCAAATTTTTGAGCGGCAAGTTAAAGAGTAATCTTCCTCACTGCTGGTTTTTTCTTCAATTAAAATTGTTGATTTCCCCTGAATATAAAACAAAAAAATATCATCTGACACAACATTAAGCTATTCATGAATATTCTGTATACACATTCTTGTTTAGTTGACTAATGGCAAATTAACGTTCTCTATTTTAGCTTAAACACATACTATAGGTATGTTTGATTAGCATTGAATTCCAAAAGCTGATTACTATGCATGCTTTGATTATGTAATTACATAATAGAGTATAATGGCTCCTTTGGAGTCATTATGATCTATATGGCAAATATGTTTCAGTTTTGCTATAGTTTAAATACACGTTGAGATGACAGCTCATAACAAGGCTCCACTTTTCAGTCTTATCAGCTAAATGGGCATCTCCCCATTCATCCCAACATCTCCTTGACACCAATTAAAGCCCTATTGTGTCAGGCTGCACACACTCTGAGAAATCCCCTTTGTTTTCTTGGCATTCAAAAAAGGACATTCATTTTAAAGGCTGTATTAAGCAAAAGGCCTGGGTTGGTTGTTGTTGTTGTTGTTGTTTTTTCAAAGAGGCTGAAATCCCATCTTTCATCCAACCTTTGAAAGGTCTGCAGGAAATCACATCTAGTTCATCAATCACTTCTCAGACAACCACAAGGGGGTTAAAGATGGAATTTCACCTTTAACTCCAAAATGCACATGAAGGGGGACCAGCCAAGAATATTGATGCTTATGGCGGTGGTTGGCCACAATGCATTCAGCTTAGGGTCTAACCGAACTTCAACCACACCAAGTTATACAAAGGTCCAGTTTTGCAAATCTCAGGCCTTGCAAATCCTTTATATTTTGAAGCTCCCTTTGGAAGGGGTAGTATAAAACAGCACCGCCAGATTTTACAGCTCCAAGCCTAGTTTTTGGTGGATTTAAGGCCAACAAATTTACCTATTGAATAGATTTTTGATAATTCCGCCATCAACTTGGAAACTGGAAAGCAGTCAGGTTTTAAAATGGGACAAACGTTATTGTAAAGAATTATGTAAAGTTTCTCTTGTCCCCATGAAATCCTTTAATCTTGCACTACTTCGTTTGCAAGAAGAGCTATTTCTGCTTTTCTCTTCTAAGGGAATGATCCCTTACACCATGCCAAACCAAAGGTGACCGGAGTCTTAACTTGAAAGACTAATAACCATCAAGCTGTTTTTACCTTTAGGTCTATTGGTTTTCGACATTAGGGCTGAGGAACTGAGGTCAAGCACAGTCCATCTGGTATTTACATATGGGATAAGAATCTCTTTTGTGAAAGGGAACATTGATTAGAAGTGTGAAAACTCTTTGCAAGGAAGATTGGGACAAAAGAAAGTAGTTCTAGCATCTGTGCCTGTTCTATTTCAATTGTAACCATCACAGGAGCTGCTCTGCCTTGAAAAGACTGAGCTCAATAGGACTTTTTAATCAGAGCCCCCAGCACCAAAGGGGCCAAGCCATTATGATGCTTAAGGTCCAAGCTGCCAGATCTCATAAAATGTGGAGGCACAATCCCCTCCATGAGAATGTGTGTTGGGACTGATACCTATCCATTAAAGATGAACCAGCTTTTTCACTAAATTTCACCTGTCAAGAAAGCAAAGGACAATACAAGAAATGAGTATACAGATAAACTATGCGAGATAATAATAATAATCACTGAATCCTTTGGCTCTTCACATGGAAAAGTGAAAATCCTAGACTTTTTTTCTCCATTAACTTATTTTCATAGCCAGACAGATTTTGTGGCTTTTTGTGGATCAAAAAGATGGCATCTTTTTTTGGAGGGAGGAAAGCCTAGCCTTGAAGAAAAACTCCTTCCGGAGGACAGGTTTTGTGAGAATTAAAAAAGAAGTCCCCAGAGTGGAAAAGTCACTTTTATTTGCTGCCAGGATGGCATTCAAATCACCTTGCTGAAGAGTCCTTTATACTTGGTAAATCTGCTTAGGGAGGGGCTCTTGGGAGAAAAGGGGGGCTCTTAAAAAAATATTCATAAAAAACAAACAAACAAACAAAAACAACAAGCCACCATCATCCAACTTGGACTTTGGAGGAGTACAATCTGAAGACCGAGGCTCTTATAAAAATAATTGTGTTGGCAAAGCAAGTAGATTCTTCTCAATGGATTTGATTCTGTGATGCTCGTTTATGGCAAAAGAAGAATAAAAGAACAGTTTCAGACTGAGCTGCTCCTAGTAGCAATTCAAGGGCGGGTGGTATCCCAGCATTTCAAAATAGATCATTTCTCTTAGACAGAATGTGCTGAAGGCCAATTGTTGATCTTGTGTATCAACCGCTTTGTAATGAACTGACGATATGAGATTATATTCCTGGGGATATATCGAATGACGACTTTGTAGAGTGAGAGCCAGCCGTGTAAAATTGCCCTACCTGTGCGCATGGGCTACTGGGGAAGAAAGTCACATTCTAAGAGGGAGGAATCCTGTAGGCAGAAGCTGGGATCTGACAAACCGCAAGGCTCGCACACCCTCCAACACAGCACTCCTGTGTCCCCAAGTCAGCTCAGGCCTAGGGTAACGGAAATTGACAACTGTAATTCACAAATAGAGCTACCCACTTCTCCCAAACCACAGGCTGCTCATAACTAAAGATTTACATGATTAAAACTCAAAATACATACTGATATATTTGGGAAACCGCAAAGGAAGATACAAATATTAGGTTCTATTATTCCTAAGAAGACTTAAGGCAACTTGGACTTCTCTTTCAACCCAGAAGACCTATTAGCAGCCAAACCATTTATAATATTATACATCGCAGCAGCCTCCGGCGAGCTATCACCCTGTAAGAAAAATAAAATGTTGCCTTTTTTCCTAACCAAATGAAAAATCTAGGATTTCAAGGCTATGGGGATGTGGTTGCTTTTCTGTAAGTGACACTTGTCAA